CCCCCCCCGCCTTGCCTGGCCGCATCCCGAGCAGCCAGGACAAAGCCCGGCAGGTACGGTGTGGGCAGCGCAGGTGCAAGAAGACCTGCTTCTTTCTCTCTCTCTGGTATCTCCCCCCACACACACCTTCCATCTTTTTTTCGCGCGCCCCCACCCCCCACCCCAACGCCAAGGGAGCGAAGGTGACATTTGCTGGCGGTTTCTGAACTTGCTTTAAGGATGCTCTGAGCCATCTTGCGATGCAGGTTCGGTACCCTGGTTTAAGCTTTTCCAGACGGGGGTTAATTTTCCAAATGTTCTGATGTCCATGAAAGGTGGAATATGATCTTCTTGGGGTTGTTTTTTTTTGTGCCAGGATTTTAGTCTGGTGTTCAGCTTCCGTGAATTAGCCCACTTCTTTCGATGCTCTGGTGTCCACAAAAGTTTATGCTGGAATAAAATCTCTCTCTCTCTTTTGAAAGAGACCACCGTACTCCTCTTCATTGTTTTGATGACAGAGATGCACACCTGCTCCTTTGGAATTAAAATCCTAGCTCCTCTTTCTGCCTCCCCCTCACCAAGGGATTGGGGGGGGGGTTAGTGATGGTCTCTTAGCAACTGTAAGCTTTGATCAATCAATCAAGGTGATTCAGCAGTGTGAGTTTAGCTGGTTGAAATTCTCCCTTTGCCCATTCTTTTCTGGAGTGGACAGCAAGCTGAGGCTGTTGGGTTTAAAGGGCCACCGGGTTGATGGGCCACTTTGCTGTGCATGCTTGGCCAGATGCCATTTCCTGTCTTGTAAAATGGCCATTTAAAAAATTTCATAATAAAAAAATTGGTCACTTTCAAGAGTAACTGGCTTCTTCCCTCATTAGAACTTCTACTGAATGTTTGAATACGTAGCCACTGTTAAAATGAAATTGCACTGATAATCATCACCTAAACACTAGGCCGATGAAATTTAATTGGTTATTCAATTTGTTAGAATCAGTTGAGTGCCTTGTTCTTTTTGGGGTATGGTAACTTCTGATAAGGACCATTTGTAAACCGGGCCCTGTTTAAATTATGGAAGGATAGAAAACCAGGATTTTTTTAAAACTTCCCTGCGTGCATAAAGCTAAGACTGGCGAGCAGCAATTAAATCACCTCTGGGGTAAACTGTTTTTGTGAGGTCTTGTGACACTTTGTATTTGTATATGTTACTGATATATGGTTGATTTTTAAATGAGATGTGTTTTATGAGTCTGTACTATGGAGTAAAAGGAGTACTATGGATTAATCTAATATTTAATATTCTGATGTCCATTGAAGTGTGCCCAAACTATTCAATCTCACATCATTTTAAATGTTAATCTTTAGCACAACAAATCTCCCGCCTAAAAGTTCTTTCCTTACTTGGAAAGATCATCTTGAGCTTCAGTATCAAGGGTGTTTTGTTCTAAAAGATGGATTATAAATAAAGGGACTGCCTAGGTGCAGTGGCTCATTTCAGGGGACTGTTTGTGCGGGGGGAACATCCCATTTGTTTTAGTGGAAGAGGGCCTCTCTTCATGCTTGTATTACAGTTTTGGGCCTGGGAAAGTCCTTTTTTAGTCACATTTCCAAAGTTGTTGTCATACATTCAAGTGGCATGTATATTGTCAAGACTCTGAAGAGTAAACATTTTGATTAGGGCCACTTCACAATCTTGTTTTCTTTGTGTGTATTGATACTAATTCCTTAAGCCTCATCTCTTTTTTGTACTTTGGAGTTGTGCAGAATTAATGGAGGAGTGTTAAACCAGTGTGGCTTTGTTTACATGAATGTTTTTGTTTCAATGTTTCTTACAATTCAGTTTTTTGTTTTTTTCATACTTGATATAGTTCAATGAATTACAAGTGCAACACTGCTGAACTCTACATTGTTCAGAAATCACACAGTAGACAAAATGGCCACAGGTCAAATGAAGACAGTGACTTGCTACAGCAAGTAAGAAATAAATTAATTTAAGAATAGTAGTAAGTTAATACTAAGTAGATTTTTTAAAAAATTGAGAAGTGTCTTAGAGTATCCTTGTGCAGAGTAACTATAGTCTAAACCCCTTGATTCGTAGAGGTGTGGCTGTGGCTCAGTGGCAGAGCTTCTGCTTTACATACAGAAGGTCCCAGGCTCAATCCCTGGCATTTCCAGTTAAGGAGGACTGGGTAGGAGGTGATGTGAAAGATCTCTGCCTGAGACCCTAGAAAGTCACTGCCGGTCAGACTAGACAAAGACTGACCTTGATAGACTTGATGGTCTGGCTCAGTTGAAGGCAGTGTTGGGTGATTTTGATGATGGGCAATAATTCTGTATATGATGGTTTGAAGATGGGGAAGAATTATATGTACTGTGTCATGTGTACAGTGTTTTATGTAGCCTATGTAAAAGTAAATGCATCGCTTAATTTCAATGCTAGAATTAGCTGGAAAAATTACACTTGAGCAAACTGTTGTTCTTAGGGAAAATGAAGACTTTTCTTTATTTTGGCTCAGCATGGTAACTCTATGAAAATCAGAAATTCAGTACAATACCTGATCATTAAAAAAAACTTGCATTTTCTATGTCCATTTTCAGTGCTCTCTGTGAGATTTGTTGGTGATTCCATACTTCAGGCTTCACAACACTGGTCATTGCTTTACCAGTATATCAGTGGTTCCCAACCTGGTGCAGGTTGTGTATGGATTTATTGCAAGGGGCATGCAAGTCCGTATATGCACTGAGTATTGTTATTTTGATCTTTCTATCATTACATGTTTTCTGAATCATCAGATACTTATAGTACAACTACTATTGGGGGAGGTCTGTGGAAATTTTTGATGCTAGAAGAAAAGGTATCCTCATCCTTGAAAAGGCTGGGAACCACTGCAATATAGGATCTGAGTGTCGTGGTTGGAGCACAGGCTTGGCAGGCATAAATTCTCTGTCATCTTCAGTTAAATGATCTTTGGTAGTAGGACTTGGAAAGTCCCTTGTCTGAGGCCCTGGAGAACCACAGCTGGTCAGCTGCTGTAGTTAAGCAGAGAGAGGAATGGCTTGAAGGAATAGCGTTAGACTCTTTTCCTTCTAGAAGGCTGTTCTCAGGGCGTGTGAGTGGCAGTCTCAGTCAGTGAGAGCCACTGCTAGAGTCATAGCACAGATGCGGAAGGAGGGCTGGTCTGTGAGCTACTCTTCCCTTTTAGTTTGCTGAATCATGTGGGCACTGGTTGCATTTGGGCATATCGTTTCCTCTCAGGAGCTTTGTGTGCAAGCTCAACAAAGGGGGAAAGCCGGTTATCTCATGATCTCCAGCGGCACTTCTTCCTACCAGTCTGTTCTCTGACAGGGTAGAAGGTTTCCCCACTCGTCAGACGGCAGTATAAACTGAGCTGCATGCTTTGCCCCAGTCCCGTGTGGCTTTATCCTGGCAAAAGCCCAGGTTTGTCGTAAATGTTACGAGAATGGGGAAAACCCAGTAAGCAAGTCATAACATTGGTATGGGGAGGAGGAATTGTCTGGGAGACTCTGGTAACTCTTAATGATATTCCGAAATACTGCACACAGGACTTTGAGAACGCAAATGATTGTGCAACTAGAGTTGTGTATTGAAAATAAATGGATTGGCTTTCAGGTAAGTGTAACTAGCACTTGCTAGTGCATCTTCGTTGTGTATTGAAAATGAATAGATTGGCGTTCAGATGGTGTAAAAAGCCCTTGCTAGTGCATCTTAATACTGCTTAGAGCCAGGGTGCCATGGCGCCCACTGATACCTTTCTGGTGCCTGTCAAGTGTTCTTAGGATATTGTATGCCAATAAAAGGTATTTGAATTGAAAAAAAGTGTTCTTAGAAAGGGGTGTGGCCAGGTGGGGCTTCTTATTGGCCACTGGAGATTTGATTGGCTGTACAGATTTTTAAAATTGACGCTGCAGCAGTAGCTGGCACCAAAGCACAAATGTGATTGGAAGTAAACTGTGGTAGCCACTGGATGGCTGACTCCACCTCCCGTGGCAGCCATTTTATGGCTGCACCCACTGCACTGTGTCAGAATTCCAAAAATGCCTGCAGGCTGAGAAAGGTTGGGGGACCCCTCGCTTAGTGGTTCGAGACTATTAAGCCAGGTAGACCATTTTCTGTAAGAATAGCTACATTTTTGTGGGTATCTTTAAATAGATCTCTTTCATTTTTTTAATCGCTTCCTTCACATTGGTGAGATTGCTTGAAGTACTTGTTTGGGTGTTTTGTGTTACAGCACTCATTCAGAACAACTGAAGTATTACCATCAACTGTGTTCTTAAACTGATTCTCTTAGATTGCAAAAGCTCTCTTCATAATATAAATGTAATGGTGGATCTCAAGGCATTTTGACCCCTAGTACTCACAGTGAACCCAATGAATGTTGTTTGTTAGATGGAGTTATTGATTTAGGTAGTAAATTAATACAAACTGGAATGTGTGGGAAACTTTGGAATATGGCACTGTGTCAGCATAATCTGTACAGACACTGAGTACTGCACTCTAAAATTTTCAGAGTGTATTAGTATGTTTTGAAAATACTACTTTTCACAGCACTCTGTGGAAATTTCTGCTATCAAATAAGCATTAGCTTGTATGATAAAGGTTCAGGTGGTAGCCATGTTGGTCTGAAGAAGCAGAACAAATTTGAGTCCAGTAGCACCTTTAAGACCAACAAAGTTTTATTCACGGTATAA